CTGGCTTTGTGATTGCTTTGCAGATGGCTTTGCACATGTCAGCTCTAGAGCTACCCTTAGGAGTCCAACCTTTTGAGGCCATGTGAGGCGGAAGGGGCTGCTCTGCCCCTTCCTGCTGCCCCACAGCCTTGTGGAAACAAGGCAGCAGCTCTCCGTGGCTTAGCACAGTTGGCTGTTGTGCACAGCTAGCCAGACCTTGCTGCAGCTCCCAAGGTGGCACTCAGCACTGCCAGGGGCATTCTGCTGAGAGGAAAGGATAAGTAATTGCTCTTGAGGAATTGATGTTCAACTACTGATCACACCATTAACATTAATTTACTGCATAGCCATACTTTACTGGCAAGATTTTGGAAAGAGCTACAGAAAGATAAATGCGTTAAAATTATCTTCTTTTTTATGTAACTGCACTCTCTTAAAATAAATCTTGTTCTCCAGCTACTTTTTTTTCTAGGTAAATAACTGCTGGAAAATAATATAAAAACCTCATTTAAGGTGAAATGCCTGATATAATCAATGTTAAAATACTTAACGTAGTTTAAGCTCATGGGTTTATTCAGTTAATAAGTCAGTTTAATACTGATTGACTTCAGGAACCAGCATGTTTTTCACCATATGAGAAACTGTTTTATATTTCATTTATCTTCAAAACTGTTTCTCTTTTTATAGACACTTTCTATTTGATTATTTTGCAATGCCACAGTACATATTTTGGTTTAAATTCATGGAAAAATACCAAGTTAAAATAAACTTAGAAGCATTTTAAAAAAGCTTATATATATTCATACTATGTATATTAATAAGCTTTTTAATGAAATAGTTTTACATGAATGATGCAATCGAAAAGATAGAGATTTTAATCTTCTGTCAAGTCTATTCTCTAATATCTAAAATTTGCATTTAAATTATTCGATAGTGTAATAGAAGTATGATTAAAAAAACAAAAGGCAAGAAATTGCAAGCAAAGAGTTGTTCAAGGATCCACTTGCATGGAGATCGATCAAACAACTTTTTCTTTGACCTTCCTCTCCGCGCATTTCTTTGTTACTACATTATTTCCATATATTTTTTGTCAGTGTACATGAATTTTAGTGTATTCCAGTAACCATTGCCTCAATTCTGCCAAACTTAATAAATATTTGCTGCAGTCACAATTATTCATCCAAGCTTTCATTGTCATTTGTAGGTTACAATTACCAGAAACATCTTTTTAAGGTAGCAATGAAAGCTAAATTGATATTTGAATAATCATAGAAATAATGCAGTAGATATTGGTGCCTAAATATACAATTTCTTTAATAATTAATTTTTATAGCTATTATGAAGACCGAAGCACACTGGATGGTTATTTTTGTTGTTACAACTAGACCTTATACAGAGAAATGTATGTTCTTTCTTAAACTTGGTGTGCATGAAAAAAACATAGCGGTTTTAATGCTAAAGCCTTTTCAGAAGAAAACAAATCCATGTAGTTCCTGCTGTGTTTTTCTTTCCAGAAGCACCCAGTCCATAGCTGAATGTGTGGCTTTGGTGTTTGCTTCTCGGTCTTTCCTCGAGCGCAGGGTGTGCGTGTCGCGCGCAGCGACAGCGCTGCTCATTCTGGGGAGCTGGCGGCTCCCCATGCCCCGCTTCTGCGGGCGCACGCCGGTCAGGTGCAGGGAGCTGCTGTGGGTGCAAGGAGGGCAGCTTACTTGGTCAAAGGGCAGGAAGACGTGATGGAAGTACCCTTCAAATGCAGGCCTGAATTGGCATTCAGATTTGGAGCTTGTTACTCAATCTTATTGTAAGATGCTTGTAAACCTCTGCCTGTTTTCTCATATGCTTTTTGCTGTTTGCTTATTTTAGATTTCTTACTGCAATTTTCCACAGTTTTTCTTTGCGAGACCAGGATTCTACTTCTCTCACGCCTGGGAATGCTATACTTGAAGATGACCTGAAATCTTCAGCTAGAACCAGTGTGTGTATCTATTTCTGTGTTGCTCAATATATATTGCAGTCAATTTGAAGTAATTGTGCTGACTCCCAAGATGTTACTAGATGCAATTTAAAGCTGTTGCTTTGCTTTGAGTATTATTAATGTGAGGAGCCATTTGTCTTGTTTTACTGCAATTAGGGTCAACTGAGGCAATTACATTCAGCAGCACAAAATATGGTGGAAGCCTAAAATTGCTGTTTTGATCTGATGTAGATGTATTCTGTGTGAAAACCAGCTGTTAGAATTTATTAAATTTTTGAGAGCAAAGTCAAGATCCATACTTTCATGATACAATTAACTTATTGCCTGGCTAAGTTGGAATCTATAGTCATTTCACAGTACATCAATTTACTAAATCGGAGTTTAACCTAATGCTAGTTTACAAGAATCAAAAGTAAAGAATAGGACAGCATCATCTACCACTTCCTGACTCAAAAACACTCTGTATAAATCTGCTGCAAAATACTGAAAAGTCTGAACAAGACGTAAGCGTTTCTTTTTTTTTTTTTTTTTTCTGGATGCTAAATATTCTCACTCATTCCCTCCACTACAGCCTATGTACAAACTGTTGTTTCAGCTGCATGAAAATAATACAAGTGAAAATACAGAATACGGCCATTCTCATGTTGGAAACTCCTTTCCTTCAAGCCTGGTCATTTCCCCCTGCACAGAGCGAGCTCTAATTGACACCCTCAGGGGTTCTACGTCCCCTGCCATGTGGGCCACAGGGGCCTTTTGTGTGTCTGCCTGGGCCAGGACCACGGGGTCGCAGGGTCCTCACAGTCTGTGTATAGTGAGCAGGGTTAAAACTGCCCGAGGATGGAGAAATTGCAGCTCTTCTTCACAGGACTTCCTGCTTATAAACACTTCCACAGACACACTGGGATCAGAGGCTGCTCCTTGTGCTTTCTTTGAGGATGAGGGTTTAAGGAGACTGCATATCTTTATTTACCAGCTTGTTTTCAGAATGGGGCTGCTAGTGTGTTGTTGTGGTATAAGATCAGTTTCGAATTGTCAGCTTTTAGGCTTTATATTAGGATTCTTCCCTTGCACAGGAAGTGTCTCAGATTCTCCATGCAAGACTGTGATAAACATGGAGAGTAATCTCCTCTAATCTTCCTACTGTTTAATTTCAGTTTAACACAGCTCTCTCTACCAAAGTTCATCTCCTCTGGAAAGCTTTGAGGTGCTAAGAAACCTGAAAATTTTACTTCATTTCAGCTCAGTAAGGTTTGTTAGTTGTGCGTGCATGCAGCTTTCCACTCCAACTTTCCGTGTGTCATATACGACAGTAAAGTCTGTGTAATGTGTCCCTGGTTTCCAGAAGTTCAGCTTCTGTTTTGCAGCAAGTAACTGCACAGCGTAGTAGGTAAACTGCCCGGGATGCCCAGCATCAATAACAAGGCCCTCGGATGTTTGTTTCCCTTCCCAACTGACAAGGCATAGCTAGAAGGTTTCATCTGGTGAGTCAGGGATATGAATGGGATTAGATGAAATGTTAAAAATCTTGGAACTCCATTTTAGAAAGTATTACTGTTAACTTTAAACAAGTTACTCTTTCTAGATGCATGAAAGGTTTGCAAGCCAACCTGGTTACCTTCTGTATGGGTTTGAGGCTCTAATCAGTGGTACATGATTACACGCTTTTTATTTCTTGTTCTGATGTTTAGCTCAGTATTCAGTTCTGAGAATTTATGGTTTCTCCCTGACGTGCTTTAATCGGGTTTTCTATAAATAATTTCTAGATTATACTCTTACACTGTAAAAGGTGTCTTCAATCTTATGTATTAATTTATAAGATATCTCGCACTGGGAGTGTTTCCTGGAGAATCAGGCCACTTTTAAGTACAAGTGAGGCTAAAAACTTCAAATGAAGCTGTTATGAAAGGGCAGTTATAAAATAGGGATATCTTTTATATATATATATATGTATATGTGTGTATATATATGTATATGAGTATTCTATCTATAGGGAGATTATATATATATAAAGGATTAAAAAAAGTATATAGATATATAAAAGATATCCTTTTATATATGCATATGTTTAAGGTGGATTATTTCCCTGGTGTTATGCTATGAGAATGCTCAATGCCTGATTTTCAAAGCATAGTTTACCATCTCTTGTACTTTATAAGAACTGCAGGTCCCAAAAGATCAATAATAAACATTTATAGTCAGTGCTGACAGTGTCATTTTTAGAAGGAGCTCTTCTGGGTGTGGAGAATGAATCTCTGCTGTTTGATTTAATATTTACTGTGTGGCTCCCTGTCCCCCTTTTCTTTGGTGACACAAAGAACAATGAGCTTTACTGATACTCCCATCCCTGCCTCTTGATACTTTTAAAAGAACAAAATATGGAGGGTGGCTACTGTGCTGTATGAGAGGTGCATTGGTTGTTACAATCAGGTTTATTTTTACTGGCCTGAGCTCTTGTGAAGCAGGGCACATACCTTCGGGGTTTCTTTCTTCTATAATAGTGAAAATGCTAACAAAACACTGAAAGTGTGAACCTTTCTGCATGGAGGTTTACCAAACAAGGTTTTTTTTTTTTCCTTGCTGTATTTGCAGTAGCTGCTATTACAAAGATATTGATTCCATTCAAGTGGTTGCCATTTTAGGGAATAGAACTGCTCATGTACTTTGTTTTATGAACCAGTGCCAATGTCACAGCTTAATTACATTACGGCGGTAAAAGTCCAGCATGTAATGGTGCTCAGTCCTCTTTGAAAAGCAATATAGTCTATTGAATGGAGTACTTGTCTACAGATCAAGAGGTCTGGTTCAGCCTTTGCTAATGACACATGAGACTAATCACTTAATATATTTCCTTTAGCATTTGCTGTTTGCTATCTATCTGATTTATTTGCTCAGATTGGCAGCTCTTGAAGTCTGTATTTCTGCAGTATTTAGCACAACTTGGCTCTGATATCAGAGTAGGCCTAGAGCATTTACTATTACTTGTTCTAATACTGGATTCTGAAGTGTCGTGTGTGAGAATCAAATACGCAATAGCTTCTATTTAAAGATTGTCTGTTACTAGCTTTCAGATGTGTCTATGTTTTAAGGCACTTAATAATATGTGTCATTAAAAATTCCAAGGCACAGAATTCTTATCAACTACTTACTGGCTCTAGATTATTGAAATGGGTGCTTGATAAAGCATAAAGTTGATAGTGGGCTATTGCAGTACTGATGTACTCTAGGTGTATAATTGTTATGACTTTATCCAACTGTACTGTTTACATGAGTTCTTTCTGAGTAATATGGTTATTATGTTAGTTTTGAAACAGGTCTCCACTGAATTCACAGAAAGGTGAAGCAGTAAATTTATTCAATGTTAAAACTGATTCTTAAACCAGCGGTCAGTATGTTTCCATAACTTTGGTTATTCAAAGTCCTTGTTAGACAAGCACCCTTTCTTTCAAAGATCCTGAGAGGTTAAGACTCTTTCTGGGCGTGCACTTCTCTCTCGTGTAGTGAGAGCTACATTTGAATCTAGAGAATGGAACCCATTCTAATTAGATGTCCTAAATGACAGATGATAAATGTTGCTCTTGATATAAGCGATTCAGGGGATTAATGGTAGTTCATAAAGAATTTCAGTGTCTAAAAGTGGCGTGAATGCAATGTGACAAATCCAAAAAATGCTTTTTATTGAAAACTGAGGTTATTTTGAATACTGGTCAAAAATTTGCATGGTGATAATCCGGTCATTAAATTTTGCAACTGAAGGAAGAAGGAAGAGCTGTAGGTGGAGCAACCTTTTTCCCTTTTTGTGAATCCTCTTTGCCTTTTGGCTCTCCCCTTGGAGAAAAAGGGATCAATGCTGAGTGCCTTGTAAATGTGCATAAAAATGCCAGTCCTTTCCCCAAAGCTTTTCTGCCCAATATTTCGCACTTTTGTGATAATTATTACAGTATTACATATGCTCTTCCCTGAGGATTTCTGTTCTGTTAGTGCTCAATGATCTGTACCAGAATAATTTTTATATATTCCATGTAGTTTATTCAGGCACCACCACGCTATTAATAATTTCCATAAGCAGCCAAGATTGGCTGATTGGCTAATTCTTGGCTAGCTCCAAGAATTACCATTGTGGACCAGAACCTATTGTGCTCAGCATTGTTAAATTGTATCAACAAAGCAGCCCTTGGCAAAAACACATTTATGTCTGAAATCATTATAGTTGACTGCACTGCATATAGAACTGGGAGCCAGTAATTTCTGCCTTTTTTTTTTTTTAACCACGGATTGACTGGATGTTTAGTGCAAATTGAGCTGCTGCTGAGTCAGATGTGTGTGTCCAGAGGTTCATTAATATGTCTGTATGGGTTCATTTTCCTTGATGTAAGATGAGAGTAATTCCCAGCCATGTTTGGGTGGGGAAGAAGGATGAGTGATAGTGCAGGTGTAAGATAAGTTCGTTGGCAGCTGTTGGACCACAGAATGATACAAAAGTGGGGAGGTTCCAAAGCAGAGATCATCATTCCAAAGCAGAGCAAGATTCCCCTCTTGCTCCAAGCCATGCTAAATTCAGAGTTAATCAGGTTGTTTAGGGCCTTAGGAGCAGTGTTGAAAATCCTTGAGTACACAGTTTCTACAACCTCTCTAGGCAGCCTGCTTCTGTGCTTAACCACTCGCTTGGGAGAATTCATAATGCCCAGCTGGAATTCTCCTTCCTGCAGCTTGTGCCTGTTGCCACCTCCTGTCCTTTCTCTGCGTGCTTGCAGGAAGGGTCTGGAGCTGCCCTGGCTCACAGAACTCGTGTTCCAGGTTTGGCCTGGCGAGCACGGCGGGCAGTGCTCCCTGCAGCCTGCTCGCCACGCCGCTGCTTCGCTGCAGGCCCTGCGGCTTTAGCTGGGCGCTGTTCACACCGCTGTTCAGCGGGACCCCCGCCTTGTTTCCCGCACCGCGGCTTCCTGGCTAGTCCATCCCCACCCTGTAGGGATAGGGAGGGTTGGTCTGTTCCACATCCAGGACTTTGCATCTGTCTGTTGTGGACTTGGTGAGGTTTTCGATGGTCTCGCCCCCAACAGCTTGTTGAGGTCCCCTGCCCTGCAGCTCCCCCTGGTCTGGTGTCACCTGCAAGTTTGGCAAGGTACAAAGGCCACCAACTGTGTGTGAATGTGAAAGCCCTTCTGTCTCAGCATGGTTCTTTTCCACAAGCAGTGTAAACACTGGCATAGCCCGAAGCACTTAAAGGGTAGGAAATCGATAATGTCTTCTGCGTATTTTTGCAAAATGCTTATGTACAATGTTTTCATTCCAGCATTTTGGAGTTGGCAAGCCTAATTTAGGGATGGGAGATAGCACCAGCCTGCTGGTTTGGGAAGGAGCAGTGTTCCAAAATTTGCATCTGTGCATCCAGTCTGTTAAGGTTGATCATCCTCTGCAAGAGCTTAACTAAGCTAACCATATTATAACATGAAGCAATAGTTCGGAAAGTATGAACGACCCATTCGGCTGAGAAATAGTGCTTTAGCAGCAAGCAGGGAGAGTAGGACAAGTGCAGCACTTGGGAGTCCCACCAGATTTGTGTTAGCCCCAGACTGGTGCAGTTTGTTCCTGCCCTGGGTGAAAGGTGGTTTTGCATGGGGAGAACGGCTGACTTCACTGGCTGCTTCAGGCCAAAGGCAGTGCCCATGGTGACAGTGAGAAACAGCAGCGCTTGTGTTCCAGTCCTTTGCTCTAACTATACAAAGTGAAATTAACAGCTTGAGCCAAGGCACATAAAAGCAGGGGAAATGCAGTTATGCATCATACCTGTTCCTGCCTCCCTCTGTTGCTCAGGTGTGGCGGATTTCTTGAAAATACGTGTAATAGGGAGGAGGGGGCTGAAGGCATCGCGAGAGCGTTGCTGGCTGTGCGCACTGGAGGGAATGAGAAATGAGATTGCTGCCCTAACTCTGCTGCTTTAAGTCAAAGCCACAGGGATATTATTTTCAACAGTGTGCACAGAGGATTAGAACTTCAGCTCCCATTACATCTAATGGGATCTTTGCTTGCAATCTGCTGCTCCTGCATCAATGATAATCTGTCCCTTAATGCTGTTTTACTAGTGCAGATTTTGGGTTTAATTATGTTATATAATAATTTGTTGTAGCATCTACATAATTCCTTTAGGAGTGCCCATGAAATGCTTATGAATTTTTATAAACACAAGCTGTGTATCTATTTTAGTCTCTCACTGCTTTTCTAAACTCTTCTGCCTTAACACAGTAGCATTTTTCCCCGTGAACGAGAGCAGTGTTTTGCAAAGCAGCCATTTTGAGAAGCAGGATACTCTGGCTGAGGATCCCCAACCTCGCGGTATTTCACTGGTGGCTTGTGAGAGGGGGATAAAGCCTGCTCCAGCTGCAGTCCAACTGAAGGGGAAAAATGCTGGGAGATAAAAAATTCAGCTTTAGTTGTTCAATGTGTCATAATTATTAGTAAATTATCAGTATGAGAAAGAATTGCATACCTTATATTCATAAATGTATTCAAACTTTTACATCAGTTGATTTAGACTTCGTTGCCTTTTTTTTTTTTTCTCAGAAGTAAAAATACATTTAGCTGATCTGCAAAATGATTAAATTGAGATGTATCTAAAAATTACTGGTCTGAATTATTCCCCACACACTGTCCTTGTACAGGCTGTCATCAGTTCTACAGTGCTACAGAGCTAATTTCTCAGAGATAAGAAGTGAGCCTGATGGCTGCTGATCTGTTTTCCTCCTGCAGCCTTATTTTTGTCATCTATTAGAGCGGGGGCAAAGAGAGAGACATTTGTATGTTTGGTGAGAAAGCAAGATTTATTATTCCTCATTTAATTTGTTTTGGAGGCATTGCTTAGTGTGGACACGCTCTGTACTGAACAGAGTGTACTAATTAAGTACCAGGATGCAGACCAACCCATTTACTTGAGACTTTGCCACAGACACGTTAATTGTTTACACGATTTCTTTTTCTTTTCGAATGATCTACACAATATCTACTGCCTGCCAGCAAGCTGATTAGCACTACTCTCCCACCTTGTCCAAGACAAGGGAATCGTTCCTGTTTCTTCTGGACAGGAAATTATTTTTGCAGCTACTTGTCTGTTCTGGCAGCAATTGTAGAACTGGCATAATGATTTACATGAGGTGTCAATATTTTGTGTGTATGCTGTGTTGGAGTTGCTTCATGATTTGGGGTCAGCAAGTAATTTTTTCCGTGCTATTAAGGAAAAATAACTTCGATGCTAATTAGAGAAGCTCTAATTCAAGTTTGTAATTATCTTCAGGGAAGGAGGTTGGTTATAAGAATCTTCGTTCATTCACAGCTGTGTGCTCTGAGGTAGCGCATGCTGGGGTCATTTTCTGCTTTGGCTCTTTAGGGCTTAGAAAACGTGGCTGCATTAAGGTAGGTAGTATAGATGCCAGATAAGGGATCCTGGAATTTCTAGGTAGTT